AGGAAGCCAGTTTGCTCACTTGATTACCAGTTCACAGTATTACAGAGGATATTAGAGGATACCAATCAACAGCCAGATGAAGAGATACACATATAGCTTTGTAGTATGTGTCATCTCCAAATAGAGACAGTTTTATTTCTTCTCTTCCAATCTTTATACCTTTTCTTTCTTTTCCTTGCCTTATTGCACTGGCTAGACCATCCAATGTTACGTTGAATAGAAGTGTGAGAGCAAACATCCTTGCATTTTTTCCAAACTTAGAGGGAAAGCTGTGTCTTGCTTCCCCCCAATCATTAAGTATGATTTTGGTTGGAGGATTTTACAGATGCCCTTCTTCAGGTTGAGGAGCTTCCATTATTCTTAGTTTCCTGAGATTTTTTTCTATCATGTATGGATGTTGAATTTTATCAAATCCTTTTTCTGCATCTATTGAGATGACCATACGGTTTTTCTTTTGTCTGTTGATAGGGTGAATATTGATTGATTGATTTTTGAATTTTGAACCAAGTGTGCATCCCTGGGATTAACACCACTTTGTTGTGATGTGTTATCATCTTTCTATACTGCTAGGCTTGATTTGATAGTGTTTTCTTTCATCCGTATTCATGAGACCAGACATACTGGTCTGTAGTTTTATTTTCTTATAATATCTTTCCGGTTTTGATATGAGGATAATGCTGGCTTCATATGATGAATTTGAAATGTGTTCCATCTTTTTCTGTTTTTCTTGAAGACTTTGTATAAAGTTAGTATTATTTCTTTGTTAATGTTTGGTGGAATTTGCCAATGAAGCCATCTAGGCCTGTAGTTTGTTTTTGTTTCATTTTGGTGGTAAGTGTCAACACAAATAATCTATGGTCAATCTATAAATCAAAATTGGGGAGAGTTTATTATGAACCAAATTTGAGGACTATAGTCCGGGGCCTTCTTTCCCCAAGGAAGGAAGGGCACCGAAGAAGTGGGGTGTACAGAGTGATTATATACCATCTTGGAACAAAGAGTATACATCACATATGATAGGAATGTCCCTTTTACTACTGTCATGAAATGCTTAGCTGGCACAGCAGTTTGGTGATTAATCCTTAATTTCCAGGAAGAGATGCTTATCCTTAAAGAAATGCCAATATGGGGGGAAGCTACATCCCTATCTTTAAGGGCATCATTCTTGTCTTTGGGACATAGTAAATGTTTAAAGCAGATTTACAATGCATGCTCAACAGGCCACGTCAGGCCCTTTTGGAAAAATGAGGTCAGGCCAAATTAGTTTTAAACCAAATGGCTTCCTCGTATACTCCAACATATGCTATTGCTTTTCATTTATTTATCAAAAGTTTTTAACTAAGAGATCGGTTCCTTTAATAGATATGAGACTATTCAGATTATCTGTTTCTTCTTTGAGTGAGCTTCAAAGAACTAGCTTTTGGTTTGGGGAGGGTTTGTGGATTTTCTTATTTTTTCTTTTGCTGTTTTCTGTTCTGAATTTCGTTGATTTATCTTTATTGTCTCCTTTCTTCAGCTTGCTTTGGGAATAATTTGCTTTTCTTTTTCCCATTAGATCATTAATTTGAGATCTTTCTTTTCTGATTCAAGCATTTAATGCTTTAAATTTTACTCTAAGTACTGCTTTGATTACATCCAAGTTTTTACATGTTGTCTTTTCATTTTTGTCCCATTCAAAACGTGTTCTAATTTCCCTTGCAACTTCCTCTTTAAACCTTGGGTTATTTAGAAGTGTGATATTTAATTTCCAAATATTTGTGGGTTTTCCAAATATTACTGATTTTTAATTCAATTCTGTTACGATCAAAGGACATACTTTGTGTGATTTACATTCTTTTAAACTTTGTAAGCTTTGTTTTTTGGCCCCAGAATATGGTCTATCTTGGTAAATATCACATTTGCACGTTAAAAGAATGTGTACTCTGCTGTTGGATGGAAAGTTTTGTAAATCTCATAAGGTCAAGTTGGTGGATAATGTTATTCAGATCTTTTATATCTTGATTTTCTGTTTATTTCTATTGATTACTAAGAGAGGAGTGTTGAAGTCTTTAATTGTAATTGTGGATTTGTCTATTTCTCCTTTGAGTTCTATCAGTTTTTGCTTTATGTATTCTGAAACTGTTGTTCAGTGCATAGATTGTTGTCTTTTTGGTAAATTGACCCCTTTATTATTACTTAATGTCCTTCTTATTATTTACTGTTCCTTGCTCTGAAGTATACTTTGCCCGATATTAATATGGCTGCTCCAGCTTTCATTTGATTCATTTTGGCAGGATATAACTTTTCCATTCTTTTACTTTTAACCTTTTTGTGTCTTTACATTTCAAGTGGGTTTCTTATAGGCAGCATATGATTATGTCTTATCTTTTTTATATAATTGGACAATCTCTGCTTTTTATTGGGGTGTTTAAACTATTTACATTTAATGTGGTTATTGATATAGTTAGGTATAAATCTGTCATCTTGCTATTCATTTTCTATTCGTCCAGCATATTCATTGTTCATTTTTTCTTCTCTGTCTTTTTCTGCCTTCTCTTGGAATAATTGAATATCATTTATGACTCCATCTTACTTCCTTTGTTTGCCTAATAGCTAAACTTTTTTGGGTTTTTTTGTGTGTGTGTGTGAGGAAGATTAGCCCTGAGCTAACATCCTTTGCCAATCCTCTTCCTTTTGCTGAGGAAGATCGGCGCTGGGCTAACGTCCATGCTCATCTTCCTCTACTTTACGTGGGATGCCACCACAGCATGGTTTGACAAGCGGTGCGTTGGTCCACACCCAGGATCCGAACCTGCGAACCCTGGGCCGCCGAAGCGGAGCACAGGAACTTAACTGCTACGCCACTGAGCCAGCCCCCTAAACTTTTTTTAAGCGCTGTTTTGGGGTTTATAGTATACATCTTGCACTTGTCACAGTCTACCTTCGAGTAATACAGCACTTCATGCATAGTGCTATAACACTATAACAGCATACTTCTGTTTCCCCTTTCCTGGCCTTTGTGCTATTGTTGCCATATATTTTATTTTTGTCTGTGTTATAAATTGTCCAATACATTGTAATTATTTTTCCTTTAAATGGTTATATTTTAAAGATATTGTAAAAATAAAGGGAAAAACTATTTCTGCTTTATCCACATATTAGCCATTTCCAGTGCTCTTCATTCCTTTGTGGGGATCCTGATTGCTATCTGCTGTCATTTTCCTTCTGCCTGAAAAACTTCCTTTAACATTTCTTGGGCCGGCCCCGTGGCTTAGCGGTTAAGTGCACGCGCTGCGCTGCTGGCGGCCCGGGTTCGGATCCCGGGCGCGCACCGACGCACCACTTCTCTGCTGAGGCCGCGTCCCACATACAGCAACTAGAAGGATGTGCAACTATGACATACAACTATCTACTGGGGCTTTGAGGGAAAAAATAAATAAATAAAATTTTAAAAAAAAAACATTGCTTGTATTGCACATCTGATATTGATAAATTTTCAGCTTTTACATGTCTGAAAATGTCTTTGTTTTCATTTTTTGAAAAGTACTTTCACTGGAATAGAATTCCAATGTGACAGGTTTTTTCTTTCAGGCCTTTAAAGATGTTGCCCCACTGCCTTCTGGGTTACATCATTTCTGACAGAAATATGCTATCAATCTTATCTTTTTGCCTCTACCTAATGGTGTGCCTGCATGTAGTTTTCTTCATATTTCTTTTGCTTGGAGTTTATTGAGCTTCTCAGATCTGTGAATTTATAGTTTTCATCATATTTGAAAATGTTTTATCCATTATTTCCTTCAATATTTTTTTTGTTCCTCTGTCTCACCTCTCCTTTTGCGGCCTCCAGTTATACATACATTGGGCTTCTTAAAATTATCCCTGAACTCAATCATGCTCTGTTCTTCTTTTTTTCCTTTTTTTGTTTCAATCTTTTATGTTTTTCATTTTGGGCTGTTTCTATTGTTGTCTCTTCAAATTCATAAATCGTTTTTGCTGCAGTGTCTAAACTGGTGTTAATACTATCCAGTGTATTTTTCATTTCGGACCTCTTCTTTTTCATCTCTAAAAGTTCTATTTGGGTCCTTTTATATTTTCCTCCACATTCTGGTACATATGGAATATCGTTATAACAGTTGTTTTAACATCCTTGTCGACTGATTCTATCATTTGTGTCATGTCTGGGTCTGTTACTATTGATTGGGTTTTTTTCTCTTCATTATAGGTCACATTTTCCTGTTTCTTTGTGTGCCTGGTAATTTCTTATTGGATACCAGACATTGTGAATTTTACCTTGTTAGGTGCTGGATATTTTTATAATCCTTTAAATATTCTTGAGCTTTGTTCTTATCCCATTTTACAAATGAGGAAACAGGCACAAAGAGGTTAAGAATAGCTAGACTTCTAGGCAGAGAATGTTGAAGAAAGTGTGCTAGTGATACAGAGAACAGGATGTGCAAGAGTAAAGAGTAATCACAGAGTAATGAGAGCTTATGGTACTTTCAGAGAAACCTAATATTTTACTAAAAGTGTGGCCAAGGAGAGGAAATAAAGCTGGAAAAGTAAGTCAGAGGCCAGATCAAGAAGGGCTTCATACTTTTTATTTTGTAGGTCATGGGGTGCCAAGTCAGATTTGTGTTTTAAAAATTGTTCCTCTACTAATGGAGTAGAGAATGAATTAAAATAGGCAGCTTAGGGGCCGGCCCCGTGGCATAGCGGTTAAGTGTACACGCTCCACTGCTGGTGGACCGGGTTTGGATCCCGGGCGCGCACCGATGCACTGTTTGTCAGGCCATGCTGTGGCGGCATCCCACATAAAGTGGGGGAAGATGAGCACAGATGTTAGCTCAGGGCCACTCTTCCTCAGCAAAAAGAGGAGGATTGGCATGGATGTTAGCTCAGGGCTGATCTTCCTCACAAAAAATAAAAAAATAAAAAATAAAATAAAATAGGCAGCTTAGAGGAAACTCTGAACTCATTTCTAAATTCTTAATTCTTGTTTTTCAACTTCTTTTTGGTTTTAGGTTGTGGATCTGTCTTGAACGCAAATGGTGAAGTTGAAATGGATGCTAGCATCATGAATGGAAAAGACCTGTCTGCAGGAGCCGTGTCTGCAGTCCGCTGTATAGCAAATCCCATTAAACTTGCGCGGCTTGTTATGGAAAAGGTATATGTGGTAATAAAGCATCCTTTTCCTAAGGGATGTTACTTGTGTACTTCAGTGACTACAAGGGGTCTGACTATAGGGAAATAACTTGAAATCACTGTTCTCCTAAAATTATATACAAGAACAGAAGCAACGTTAAGTTTCTCAAATAAGCCAAGATTCTGACTTTGTTGACGATGTAATTTGAGTAGTAATCCTTTAACCAGTGATTATTTTGTTTTCATGTTATCTTCCTGTATTTTCTTCAGCCTTCTCTCAACACATGTAACACATACAAACTGAACAGACCCACTGTTTAATAGCATGTGTTAAATAAAAATGGATTAAGTTCTCTAAATTTAAGATCATATGTAAGTCACGTTCCTAGTAATATTCCATCATTTTTTTAGTTTTATTGAAAATATAGAAACTCAGAGAACCAGGCTCTTTTCAACATCCAGAAAAGCAAGCCAGTGGAATTTGCATTTTTGAGGCTTTATGCTCAAAGAAAAGTAATTATTTTTATACAGTTGGAACAGTTTAAAAGATTTTAACTTTTTCTGGGCCGGCCCGTGGCTTAGTGGTTAAGTGCGTGCGTTCCACTGCTGGCGGCCCGGGTTCGGATCCCGGGCGCACACCGACACACCACTTTTCCGGCCATGCTGAGGCCGCGTCCCACATACAGCAACTAGAAGGATGTGCAGCTATGACATACAACTATCTACTGGGGCTTTGGGGGGGGGAATAAATAAATAAAAATAAAAAT